TGGTGTGTGCTTGTGGTTTGTTTTGATGTGCTTTGTTTTAGCAGTGGGCAGTTGGTTTGGACATTGTTCTCTGACCCACTTCTCAAAGCAGATTAATGTGGTTCCTCTTATCCCATTTGGCCCCTTTGTAATTGGTCAATGCTTGAAATGCAGAACTTGAGCCAAACTATTAGTTTAGCTTTTGTGCATAGTTTTTCGGTGCTGCCATTTGGAGAGGTATTTGAACAAAATAACAAATCTGCAGACACGTCTATTGCCTCTTACAAAACACGCCTAATGTAACTGTGTGTCCTTTCCTTCACCTTACAGACTAAAGGGAAGTCACAGACAGGCACAGCATCAGATATAGAAAAATATCTCTCAACATCACAGATACAAGACTGGAGAAACTCTGACCTTCAGAGGTACAAGGTGAGAAATGAACACGGTCAGCAGCAAAAGCCCTCAAACATCCAGGCTGTTTGTTTTGTAAATCATCATGTTGGTTCTGACTCTGCAGTGACAACTAATCCAGGCAAACTCAAGAGTTTGAACAACAAAGAAGTCAAGATTTACAATCCAAATAGATCTGTGTTTAACAAGTGACTCAGAAATAACAGGACTGCAGCTAGAGCGAAGCTCCGCGACATTTAAATGATACAAGTTGCGCAAGAACCAGAATTTCTAGGCAGTTACCAGTCAGTCTTTCATAAACAGACACTGACATATAGTACATTTCAGTGTCTCAGGAGCGTGGTTGGAACTTACAGTGACATAATGTACAGTTAATATACAGACATGCTTTCTGAGTAAAAAAAAAAAAATCTCTAATTTCTATTTGTCTAATTTCCTTGTTTTAAGTTGTTTGTTTTTTTTAAAAAAGTTTTCTTATCTGATGACTTGTGCAGGACTACTCTCTGGCAGACTTCCTGCAGGACCAGTCTTCTGAGGTTAGCGCCACCTCTGACCCTCAAAGCTTCAAAAGACAAGAGGCCATCTGGGAACTCTTCACCAGCGAGTGTGTTTACTTCCTGGATCAGCTCATGGTTCTCAAAGAGGTGACTGTCCGTACAAAGACACACACACACACAC